TCGGTGTAAACCACACGTTTCAAATTATATTCACCAGTTACAGTATCATACATACGACCACCAAATAAAAATATTGTATCATTATTTGTGTTGGAACTAGCTTTAGCCCATGATGCAAATACTGGCAATGGTGAAGTTTCAGTTAAATCCTTCCATGGTGGAGTTGTTGTATCAAATGTTTGTGACAAATCAAGAGAAAAAAAATCCTTTGATGCTTGATCATTAGAGTCACCACCACCCATAACATATAAATTATTGTTAACAATAACAGCAGCATGTACATATCTTGGGTCAGTTGGAGTTGAACTTACCACCAAAAATAAGCATTTGAGCAAGATTAAAAATATTAAAAAGATGTTCATTATGTTTAATTAGATTGATTCAACTATAAAATTAGAAAAAAAAAAAGACCACATTTTTATTGACTGTTATATACTGTATATTCAAAATAAAATTTTTAATTTGTAAAATAGTAGTAACAAACGAATTCGTTAATTTAACTAAATTTGTTGGATTTTCATCATAATATGTGGTGTTTTGTTTATGAAATCGCATTTCAAGTGTAGAACTGGAATTTTCCTTTCTTCCTCAGCTACATTCACTAAAAGGGATGCTAGAAAAGCATAGGGTGCAGGGATCTGCAAAATTCGCCTGTCCCCTGTGCTTTTCATGATTTTTCGCATATTAATATCGCCTATGCCACTCGCCTGTCCTTTTCTAGATTTGATTATGATGGTGAAAAGCACAGGGGACGGGGACCTGCAAAAAAAATTTTTTGATGGCGGTTTTTTATTTTTTTTTTTTTGATATACTATTAATACATAAAATAAATAATAATTTATACACAATAATTTATTTTTTTTATTTTTTCTAATTCTACTACTACAATGAACTATAGAGGTGTCAATTTTAGGTCTAGTGAAATATAATATATTATCATGTAATAAAATAGTTGCGAGTTGCAATGAATTAATTAATTGTTATATTTTTTATTAGATGAATCAGGTTCAGACTCCTTTTGAATTATTTCATCATCTTCACCTTCATTGTTAGTATTGTAATATTGATGACCTTTATCCTGAAAATATTCAATTACTAGAAAAAATGCATAATATATTAAAATCATTTGATAAGTGACAGGAAAATCATGTATTTTTTATTGAAATTTTACCCACAGTCTATTCCTGAAAGGGTTTCTTCATTTGGAATTTTTATATTATATCTGTTTAATTTTTCCAGGAAAGTTTCTGCAAATAGATGTTATTGTTTATTTATTTATTAATAATTTTATTGATTAATTTATTAATTAATTAATCATACTAATACTAACTTGTTTTGTTATTAGAATAAATAGAGTGAATATTAGAATCCTTTAATCTATAAGCAACCAATACAGTTTGTGGTTTATTTCCTGATAAAGAAGTCAAATCTTTTGATTCTAATACTGCCATTCCTCCTTCATTTAAGTCATCATATTTATAAACACCACTGATCATTAAAGCTTCGAATTACTTTACTGTAGAAATGCTGTCCACTTGATGATGTGCTATATACACGTGCTGTCAATATATATTCTATAGGGATGTTATTTTCTTCATAACAAAGCTGAAAAGGGAAGTCTAATTGATGAGATGAATTATAATTTTGACCATCTCTTTGAGTTATTTCAAATATTAAGGTATGTGGCCAAAAGATTATATATTCTTCATAGGATATTTCTCGATTAATACATTGATAAAGATTTGCATGGTTATAAGGACAAGGTTGATCTGGAAATATTTTACTAATTAATTGATTCTTTTCTGCAAATAATGCAGAGACTTGGCCTATTAGATTTGGATTATCTTCAAAAAAAGAGCTACCAAATTCATCAATTCCATTTATTGGAAACAGTGGTTTGATAGGTGTTGGAGAAATTTTGACATGGCCAGATTTACACGACCATATTCGTAATCCAAGAACACAAAATTGTGACATAAGCTTTGTTGATTCTTTTTCTTCTAAAATAATATTTTCAAACCAATGAGTTAATGATCCAAATTGGTTATCTTCTTGCCATTTTTTTTCTAGAACATGGCGACAGACAATTTCACGAGCTTCATTAAAAGTGGATTTTACATTTTTAGTTCCTGGAGTATTGACAGTGTCTCGAATGGTAAAACTTGTATATAATTTTTTTAGTCCAGAGTTACTTGGAATTACTCCAACATTTGTTGTCCACCACATAGTTGTATGAAGATAATTTGTATATAATAATTCTAAGAATGAGGTAATATAACATGAACTTCTCCAATGTGGATAGGATTGATACTTTTTTGGAAGTTCATTTGCTTTCTGTTTCTGTTCTTTTTTATCAGAAACACTTAAATCTCCATTATCTTTATCAATGTTCTTAGAAGACTGGTTTTTCAAAAGAGCCTCAGTAGTATCTGGTGGTCTAGGATCATTTACACCAGCACCTTTGGATCTTTTTCCCTTGGATGATTTGGTGGTGCCATATAATTCAGCAACTTTTTTCCATCGTTCTTCTTCACCATACTTCAAAGAATGGCCTTTACTTTTGTTCTCATAATCTACCTCCAAGGACATCACAAATAACAGGAGATTTTCAAGACCTAATTGAAATAAATTTAAGATTAATATTTATTTGGAATATCAATTAATTAATTAAGTTGTTTATTAAATACCTGTTATAATTGATTGATTTGTAGCTCCACACATATAGTATTGAGAATGCATTGATTCTTGGGCATTAGTTGAACCTGGTAATTTTTTGTATAAACCTTCATCCATAGTACTTAATGCAGGGAAAAGGATTTTACCTGCATCGGTATATACCCACCATTCCAGCCAGGCAGTGGAATTTGGCCAATTTTCTTGTATCTCTCCAACTTGTTCAAAAAAATCTTCAAAATTGATTTTTAAGAGCTTTAATGTCATTGATCGAAATTTTGTTGAATCTTCATGTTTTACAATTGCACTATTTTGTGCAATTCTTGTTATAGATTGTTTGTAATGCTCCTGACATCCTTTTAAGAAGGCCAATGCTTTTTTTTCCAATATAGTTTTATGTGAATCTAAGAGAACTTTAGAATACAAAGATACTTGATTTTTTCCAATTTATGCCCAATGAATGTATCAATGAATTCTCTTTTTCCAGCCATGCTAAAATCTATAACTTGTGCATAAAAATTGTCACAATTTTTGGTTTCACTTTCACAATGGTCATCAATCCACTGAAATAAATATTTAAAGTGCTCTTTATAGTGGACTTTATCCTCCTTTAAAATCACTGTTATCAGAATTGGTATCCATCTTTCCAGAAGAGGGCAATATAAAGAACTATTGTTCAAATTAAAATAAATGAGTAATGAATAATAAAGTCGGTTTTATTAAAATCTTTCAATTACACACCTGGACAACAAGAAAGCATTTGAAAAATATTTGTAAGTGCTATCTGTAATAATGCCTGGAAAGTTATTATTTGAAAAGCCTTGTTGTTGCATCCAATCTGATTGTAACATAATCACACCTTTGTTGGCAAAATCAGCCTTTCTAATAAAATTCGGGTGGTCTTGTTGAAATTGTAAAATGTCCAAGATGAAATTGTCTCCATGTCGGTGAGCTGTTTTGTTGATGATGTTTTCTTCATTGATTATTTGCCGACGATAATAAGCAATTCTATCAGTGTTTGAAAATGCTTCAGATATTTTTCTAACTGAAGCAAGTGGGTTGTTATTATCCAAGGATTGTCCCACTTGCATTTTTTTGGGCAAGGTTTCAGGTGCTGCAGAGACGTGTTTTTTTAATTGATCTTTTTCTTGATTAAATGGCTTGTTTTGCAAACATTTTTGATGAGTGTGGTGTCCATAGTGTAATAAATAATAAGTAAAGCCGTTTTCATCAGGTTCTTCTAATGTGATGAATTTACAACTCACAATACACTGAATCCATTGTAAAGAACCTAAAAATGAATCAAAAAATACAAAATACATTATTGTTTAAGTTATATTTAAAATCTATATTTAATTAATAAATTAATACATATACCATCACATGTAGGTACTGGGCAACCTTTATCAAGTTGCTCTTCTGCTCTTTTCCCATGTTTTTTGGTTTTTGGTCTAGTTTGAGCATTACATTGTTCACATTGAATTGTACCAAAACATTTTTTAACATTAATTTGAGCATTATATGTGGTCTGTTTTTTTGATTCGACACTATCTAAAGCCCAACCACTCTGAAGCCAATCTCTTGGTTTTTCTTTATATTTATAAATAGTGTTCCCACAGGGCCAATGTGGATAATTTTCGCCTAAAAAAAAAATATATAATACAATAAGATTTAGTCAAATTGTATATAATTAGAAAATTTTGAAAATTACCATTATCTTGATTTGAATTGCAGTGAGTGCAAGATATGTCAGAATCTATAGTTATTTAATTGAATGTATAAGTTTTTGAGTAATTGAAATAAGCAAAAGATTACACATATGATGCATACCTTCTTCACAGATAGAATCTTCAAATTTTTTGATGAAAGCAGTGAATTTGTTCATTTTAAATTAAAAAATTGAAATTTCCGAGTAGTATTGTTTAATAATAATAATAAAAGATAAGGTTTGGGTTTTGAATTCAAAAAAAAAAATTCCGCATAGCTAATTTTTTTTATTTTTTCGTAGATTAATTTTTATTTTTTCATAGATTAATTTTTTTTCTTTCGTAGATAACTTTTTTTATTTTTTCTTGTTATATATTTGTTTTATTTGAGAATAATTCTTTGAAGTAATCAAATTCAGCGTATATTTATATGAATTATCAAAGTCAACAAATCATTCAATTTGAAAAGGCTGTTTCTTTAAAAATAAAGACTTTATTTACATTAACATCCAACATTTTTTAAAAATATATTACATATTTCAATTTATATCATCAGTTTTTTAACAAATTATATAAATCACCAGTCCTTTAAATCATCAGTTTTTTTAACAAAATCATTTAAATCACCAGTTCTTTAAATCATCTGTTATCCATTTTTTAAAATCGTCAGTTTTTTTCTTGAAAAAAATGAATCCAAATTTCTAAATTAATAAAATTGTTGCATCAAATGATTATTATTATGCAATTATTATTATTATGTACAAATTACTTCCTATTTTTCTAAATTTTTCTCAAAAGGACAGGCGGGTACAGGGATCGGCATATTTGCCTGTCTCCTGTCCTTTTCCAGATTTGATAGTAATAGGTGAATATTGAAAAGCACAGGGTACAGGTCACCTGTTCCTTGTTTGCGCCACGCCTGTCCCCTGTGCTTTTCAAGATTTTTCGCATATCGCCTGTGCCACTCGCCTGTCCTTTTCTAGATTTGATGGTGAAATCTTGAAAAGCACAGGGGACAGGCGAATTTTGCAGATCCCTGTACCCTGTGCTTTTCTAGCATCCCCTGATCTCATTGATAGAA